TGAGTGACTTATATTGAGTTTTTTTGATTTTGACAAATTTCAATACTGATCTGCTTAGATATTGAAATATTGAGGGAATTTTCATACTGTTGAAAACCCTCATTTGATTTTTGCTAAATATATAGATGAATTTCTTTTTCTTCTTCTGGAGTATACAGGCTGATATTGCCAAATACAATTTTGATACCTAATTTTGAATTCATATACAGGGTGATTTCCTGATTTTGATATAGAAGTATTACCTATACATGGTAAATATTTAGTTTTGAGTATATATACAGGGATATTACCTGATTTTGATATTGATGTATTACCTATACTTGGTAATCATTTCATTTTGAATTAATATACAGGGTGGTTCCCTGATTTCAATTTATAGGGTGATTTCCTAACTTTGATATACAAGGTGTTTCCTTGTGTTTTTGGCTCTGATGTATTTCCTATGAATGGTAATCATTTATTTATTGATCAATATACAGGGTGATTCCCAAATTTATTCATTCAAATAAAACTGGCATTTAATCATTTTGATTCAGTATACACATACGTGTTTCTACTAATTGGCATACAGGGTGAGATAGTTTTATACAGAGTGTTTTCTGAAATTCAAATAATTCTGTTTTTTGAATTTTAAATAATTTTTTGACTTTTCATCATCATTATGAATCCTGAGAAATTCCAAGTCAACCATCTTATCGGATTACGAACTGGAATATGAGCTTTCTATTCGTAAAGTTGAATCGGTCAGACCTGTTGTTGAGAAAAGAAAAATTTTGAAAAAACTTCTAGAAAAGGAACAAGTGAGATCTGATGCTACTGTTGTTTCAACGTCATACCCTTTCGATTGTGAAAAAGAACAAAATGAAATAAACAATACTTTCATGCAGATAGCTGCTAATATTATTGATTTTGCGGACATAGGAGATCCGAATGATAATTTATATCAAAGAACTTTTTCAAGGATAATTCATGTAACGAACAGAGTTTGCAGAATAGAACAATTTCTCACAATTGAAGGATTGATATCACAAAATAAGGAAAAGGAGTTGACAACTTTTCAATCAGAAGGATATGCAACGTGTTTAACTTTGGAAGCTGACCTAACTGGAAATATAAAAACTTCGAACAATTCAGTTTCTAACAATACAACACCACCGGTGATTAACGTTGCACCTCCTATAATTAATCGCTTCAGATCTGCAGCTCCTATTTCAAATTGGGGAATTAAATTCAATGGAGATCCCAAAACAGTTTATGATTTTTTGGAGAAAGTTACAGAATTAGCTCAATCACGTAAAGTGTCCGAACAAAATTTATTCGAATCTGCAGTTGAACTTCTTGAGGGTGACGCATTTGTTTGGTTCCGAAGCATTAAGTCTCAAGTACAAGATTGGTGCTCACTTGTTACTTTTCTAAAAAGGGATTTTTTACATTCGACGGCCGATGAGGATATCTGGGAGCAGGTTAAGAAAAGGAAACAAAAGCGAAATGAATCAGTTGCTATTTTCATTGCTCATATAGAAGCACTCTTTAGTAGACTTTCTCAAAGTCCTGCTGAAGTTACTAAAGTAGAGTACATGCGGCAAAATCTTTTGCCTGAATTAATTAGTCAATTAGCTCTTGTTGACATCGCTACAGTTTCTTCATTTTCTAGCTACTGTCGAAAATTGGAAGAAGCAAATTTTATAAAGAATAAAAATAACCCTGCTAGTCAAGTATCCGAAATTTCATCACAAAACTTTGGCTATAGACACCCTGGAGATGGACGAAATTCATTTCAGCAAAATAATTTCAGGAGAACATTCAATAATTCCAGATACAATAATAATAATAGTCATCAGTCACGCAATTCCTCTAATTCATTTCAACATAATAAATTTCGAAATAATAATTCTAATTCCTATCAAAATAATAGAGAAAGAAATCATCCTTCCACTCCTTCTCAACATAACAGAGAACGAAATGATAGTTCTACCAATTCATTTTTGCATAACAGGGAACGGAACAATCCATCAACTTCTCAGAATATCAGTGAACCAGGTCCATCAGGGACATCTGATCATAGTGGTAATATCATTATTTGTTGGAATTGTGGACTTCAAAATCACTTGTTTCAAGATTGTAAAGCAGAGAGGAAAATTTTCTGCTATAAATGTGGTTTGACAGGCGTCAAATCAATATCATGTCCAGTCTGTACTCATAAATCAAAAAACTAGCCAGCAGGAGTTTGTGTGGTGACCAACAAAATCCTGCCTGTAATCGGGTCACATTTTGTAGGGAAAATAGAAATCCAATACGAAATTTTGAAAATATAGTTGACTTAGTACAAGAAAATAATTCTAATTCAAATCTCAATACTTTCCCTGATTTAGTGAACCTTTTAATTCCAGTAAATCTCATTCTAAAAATTTGTTCCAAAAGAAAAACAAAAGACTCAAAGTCAGTCGACCACACATTTATATAACACTATATCGTCAGATACATGTTACCGGTTTCGGCACAACGGCCATCATCAGACAAAAAATACCTGTAAATATAAATTAGATGAAACAGTATGGAGAAGGAAGGAATACAAAACCTACCGACAAAATTATGGGCACACTATAGCATCATTAAAAATTAAGTTGAGAAAGAAGGCAAAATCATGTTGTATGGCAGGAGATTCATCACCGGGTTTTCAGGCTCAGACACAAATGACTATTTTTAAATTTACTGAAGAGCCAGAAAAAACTGGCTCTGATAAGGTTGAACATCTTATCCTTAAAATTGTTTTTTATAAAATTGAATCATGCTAAGCTAAAAGCAATAACAGAAAAAGACAAATTTGATGGTCAACAAAGACTTCGACATATGACAGTTGTACATGGAACAACAAACAAGAGTGAAGGTTATAGACTAACAACAGAACTAGAGAAGTAAGTACATAAGAAGGAAGAAGAAAAGGGGAAGAAAAAGGAGAAGAAGGCAAGGTGAAGAGAAACCATGGAGAAGAGGAGAAAATAGAAAGGTCACAGAAACAAGAAGAGGAGTAAGTGTAGCGTCTAGTGGAGAAACAAGAGACAGAAACAGAACTAATTTTGAACGTAATCATATTTTCAGAACATTACATTTTTCATAATTTCTGCTCGTTCCATTCTGGTAGTTGCTACCCCGCCACTGGAGTTTCCGAAGTAACAATTTCCTCCACTTCTTCTTCTGTTTCTGTCTCTTGTTTCTCCACTAGACACTACACTTACTCCTCTTCTTGTTTCTGTGACCTTTCTATTTTCTCCTCTTCTCCATGGTTTCTCTTCACCTTGCCTTCTTCTCCTTTTTCTTCCCCTTTTCTTCTTCCTTCTTATGTACTTACTCCTTTAGTTCTATTGTTAGTCTATAACCTTCACTCTTGTTTGTTGTTCCATGTACAACTGTCATATGTCAAAGTCTTTGTTGACCATCAAATTTGTCTTTTTCTGTTATTGCTTTTAGCTTAGCATGATTCAAGTTTATAAAAAACAATTTTTCGGATAAGATGTTCAACCTTATCAGAGCCAGTTTTTTCTAGCTCCTCAGTAAATTTAAAAATAGTCATTTGTGTCTGAGCCTGGAAACCCGGTGATGAATCTCCTGCCATACAACATGATTTTGCCTTCTTTCTCAACTTAATTTTTAATGATGTTATAGTGTGCCCATAATTTTGTCGGTAGGTTTTGTATTCCTACCTTCTTCATACTGTTTCATCTAATTTATATTTACAGGTATTTTTTGTCTGATGATGGCCGTTGTGCCGAAACCGGTAACATGTATTTGACGATATAGTGTTATATAAACGTGTGGTCGACTGACTTTGAGTCTTTTGGTTTTCTTTTGAAATTTTATTGGACCACTTTGAGATATGGATGATTTTCACGATTTAATAATTTGTTGAATAAACATGATAAAAGTAGTACTTCTTCAACTTCTTCTGGGAATACTACAAATAAAAATTGCAATGTTTCACCTGTATTTGTGGACAGACCATCAGACAATCGCCCATTCATTAAAGTAAAACTTCTTGATCAGGATATAACAGTTTTGCTTGATAGTGGAGCAAACGCTTCAATTGTTGGCGCTAAAGGTTTAGATATTTTGAGGAGATTTAAATTACCCCAGTCAATTTAGGTTTAGACCCGGACATTGATGATAACTAAACGGGAACTTTTTCAGTTTGTTAAAACACCTTTGAGAAACACCCTCAAGAAAGTCCCACGACGTTCTAAGTGGGATAGCTAAAATATGAAGGAAAAACTAGATGAATTATGCTCAAAATCAACAATTTTAATATTATTTCCTCATTGGTGGATTCAAGCTCAATTATACCCATTATCAATTTTATAGAAAACTAAATTTTCTACAAGTTTTATGAGAAACAATTTCTCATACGACCAATATTGAAAGAGCTGCAGCGCTTTGAAATAGGGCAATTATCGAAAATACCATAATCGTTCGGTTGTGAATGACATTTTGCATGAATATTTTTTCATTCATCAAAAACTGATCGAAAGCACAGAATATTCCTTCTGTTATGGATTTGGGATCATCAATAACGATTTCATTTGTTCGCACCAGTTACGTGATTCCTCGGATTTCTGAATTTCACCTGGCAATCAATGATATTTTGATACAGTAGTAATAATAATAGCTGCTGACAAAGTAATCGAAATATCAGTAAAATTAGGTTTTGACTCGGATATTGATATTTATTACTACACACGGACTTTCTCTCAATATGTTCGGATGCCTTACGGGATGACGCTTAAGAGAGTCCTACGACCTCTTCAGTGAGATAGCCAAGATATCCTGGAAAAACCGGATTTTCCAGGAAATTCCTGGAGCATTGCCTAAAATCGTTATTAATAAAGCTATTTCTTCACATTTCATATGATTTTTTTATTGCAATCGAGTGAATAATAAGGATAATGGTTTCATCTAATTGTAAATAGTAATACAAATAGTTTTTATAACTTCGCGAGCTAGAGTCTTCAAGCGAGGCTGAATTCCACATCAGTTTCTGAAACAAAATTATTATAAATAAAACAATAACACATCCCCAAATAGAGGAAAGAGAAGCAATTTTGGATGTTCGGTGGCATACCAGTACACGGGATCGGCTCGAGGTCTTTGTCCGCATGGTCGACGTTGTCCTCGTCCTCTTCTCTTAACTTATTACTACATCCATGCCCCGCGCAGTACCTGCAGATGTTCGAACACACCATCTTGTGCCTTCTGCACGAACATTTCTTGGATTCACACCCTTGTGTGCAGTAACAAGATACCATTTCGAGAAGGCGGTCTGGAGCCGGCTTACTTCGGTTGGTCACTGGGCGTAAGTGACCCTCTTCGTGCTTCTCGAATCCCCAATCAGTGGGCGGTAGAGGATTTCCTAACCATTCCTGGACCTGCAAGTACAATCTATGTGCAGTGAATATGTTCAAAAAATATACTGAACGAACCGACTTTTTGAATGGAACTAACCTGAAGATAGACTCGTAATGAGTGCTCTCTACTTGACGATTATGTGGGAGGCAGCTGGGCCAGATCAAATTTCTTGTTGGCAGGGAGCCAATAATTGATTTTCACATACATCTGGAACCTTCTCTCTTTAAGATCATCCGAGGTTTTTCCTGGATACAGAGACATAATGAACATTCTCCAGCAGTGGCAATGTCGTCTGGTGTGACGTTTGGTGAGTTGAACACTCCAACTCGCAGACGTAGTGCCTCATCTTGTTGCAAGCGCCTGAACGGCTTCAATTTACCAATATTGAATATAGCACTAGTTGTATCACACCCCGTAGCAGCGTGTAGAAAGAGTATTAATTATTTCATTGGTCCTAAGAACTCCTGACATTCCTTGCTGCTATATAACTTAGCTGGTTTACCCTTGATACCAGGTATCAGGAATTTGATATCAACCTGAGGTGGAGACAGAGCAGTAAGTAGAACCGCAAGGTCTGTGTCTTGTCCAATAACAACAGTTTCATCCTGTTGCTCAGAATAGCATATAGCGGTTGTGCGAACATACCAAATGAAGGTCCCGGTAATTATTAATGTCCGTTTCGTATCCTAATTCTACTGAGATTTCGATTACTTTGTCAGCTGTTATTTACTATTATATCAAAATATTATTGTGTATAAGTCCTATCTTCAATATTTTTGATTTCCTGGCAAACTTCAGAAATCCGAGGATTGGCATAACTGGTGCGAACACATAAGATCGTTATTAATCAGTCCAAATTCATAACAGAAGGAATATTCTATGCTATTGATCGATATTTGATTAATGAAATAATATTCATGCAAAATGTCATTCTCAACCGAACAATTATGGTATTTTAGATAATTGCCCCATTTCAAAGCGCTGCAGCTATTTCAATATTGGTCGTATGACAAACTGTTCAATATGAAACTTGTAGAGAATTCAGTTTCCTATAAAATTGATAATAGGTATTATTGAGCTTGGATCCACCAATAAGGAGATGATATCAAAATTGTCGATTTTGAGCATAATTCATCCAGTTTTTCCTTCATATTTTCGCTATCCCACTTAGAAGGTCGTGGGACTTTCTTGAGAGTGTTACTTGAAGCTGTTCAAACAAACTGAAAAAGGTCCCGTTTAGTAATTATCAATGTCCGGGTTTGGTCGGAAATTGGCCTATTATTACTGGGGTAAATTAAAAATTAATCCGATTTCTCACAAACACGTATGTACTGCGGATGGTCCGCAGAAAAATATTGAAGGAGTGGAAAATTTACCAATTGTTATTGAAAATGTGTGTCAAATTTTGAATACTTTAGTTGTGCCATCTTTGCCTCTCGCTTTTATCTTCGGTGTCGATTTTGCTAGACAATTCGATATAAAACTTGATTTTAAAAATAATTTTTGGCAAATTCAATCTGGATGTACCAACATCGATATAGTGGAGGATTATGATGAACCTGTAGTGATGCCAACACTACAGACCTTAGGTGATTTGACCCCTGAAGAACGAGCACAGGCAGAAGATGTTTTCAAATGCTTTGATGAGATAGACAGTAGAAACAAACTAGGACGAACAAATAAAATTACTTTGACTATTGACACAGGTGATGCCCCACCATTTAGAAAGAGGCCTTTTGTTCTTTCTCCTTATATGCAGCAAATTTTGAATTAAGAACTTGATGAAATATTGAAATCAAATGTGATTGAACCATCGAAAAGTCCATATTGTTCACCAGTACTTCTTGTTAAAAAGAAAAATGATGAGTATCGCTTTTGTTTCGACGGACGACCACTTAATGCTATTACGAAACACGATAGTTACCCACTACCTAACGTGGAGAGAATCCTTGCTTCACTTAGAGATGAAAAATATATATCATCTATTGATTTGAGGAAGGCATTTTGGCAGGTGCCACTTGACCCGGATTCAAGAGAAAAAACGGCTTTTAGCGTTATAGGCAGAGGTCAATTTCAGTTTGTTACGATGCCGTTTGGGCTTTTGAATGCTGCGCAACAACGCTTGGTTGATGCTATTTTTGGACCCAAGTATGAGCCAAAAATATTTTCTTACATAGTTGATATAATTGTTACTGGTTCAACATTTGAGGAGCATTTTAGTTTGTTGAGAATCGTCAAAGAAAAAGTGCAAGAAGCTAATTCAACTATCAACCTTGAAAAATGCCAATTTTTCAAAACCAGTTTGAAATTCCTAGGGTTTGTCGTGGGTTCGAATTCTCTTCGCACTGATCCAGACAAAATAGCTAGCATGGTGAACTATCCTCGTCCGAAAACGTCAACGCAAATTAAACGATTCGTTGTACTATGTTCTTGGTACCGTCGATTCATTAAGAATTTTTCTACTGTGTTATCTCCCATTAATGAACTTTTAAAAGGTCGAAAGGAGAATCAAAATATCATTTGGAACGAAGCAGCAGAAGCTTCATTTGTTAAAATTAAACAACTATTAGTCTCTTCACCAATATTATCCCAACCAGATTTCACTAAAGAATTCACGATCCAAAGTGACGCTTCTAATACAGGGTTAGGGGGGATTTTAACGCAGGATATAGATGGGGATGAGCGAGTAATTGCATATGCCAGTCGTTCATTGTCAAAATCTGAGAGAAATTATTCAACGGTAGAGAAAGAATTACTAGGCTTACTTTTCTGTATTGAAAAATTCAGACCATACATAGAAGGAACTAAGTTTACGGCAATTGTTGATCATTATTCTTTGCTTTGGTTGAACAATCTTCAGAACCCTTCCGGTAAACTTCAAAAATGGGCTGTTAAGTTACGCCAACATTCATTCGACTTGATATACAGAAAAGGCAGTAGAAATGTTGTTCCCGATGCACTTTCCAGAATTATTACTGAAAATGAAGTCAGTGAAGACAGTGTAGATCACTTAGAAATTGCATATTTTGACATAGATACTGACAGAATCGATAAATGGTATGATAATATGAGAACTAAGATTAACAGTAATCCGGATAATTTCCCACAATGAAAGGTCGAGAATGATTTTGTATATAAGTATGTACCATCTAACTTACCTATGAAGTCAAACATCCCAGATTGGAAGTATTTAGTTCCAAAACCTCAGAGATCAGATGTTATAAAATCATGTCACGACCCGCCACTGTGTGGTCATTTTGGTTTCTTCAAAACTTTACATCGTATTCAGGGAAATTTCTATTGGCCAAAAATGCGCCATGACACACTCGAATATGTGAAATCATGTAAAGTATGTGGTGCTCAGAAAATGCCTAACACTGGTCGAATGGGACAAATGGGAAAAGAAAAAGTAGTGAATTGGCCTTTTCAAGTTATCGGTTCAGATTTAATAGGACCTCTACCTCCTTCAAGAAAACAAAATGAATGGATTTTAGTAATTTCTGACTGGTTTTCGAAATACAATTTGATATTTCCGTTAAAAAGTGCAAAGGCACATTTTGTAGAAAGAATTTCAGAGAACGAAGTGTTTTCAACTTATGGAGTACCACAGTATATCATATGTGATAACGGTGTACAATTCACCAGAAGAAATTTCGAGAAGTTATGTGAAAAATATGAAGTTCAGAAAATTTGGTATAACGCAGTGTATTCGCCACAGTGTAATATTGTTGAGAGAAATAATTGCACCATTGAAACGGCTATACGCAGCTATATTGACGAGCACCGTGATTGGGATCTGGAAATTTACAAAATTCGTCAAGCTGTGAATACCGCTAAACACGAAATTACTGGCTTTACACCTGCTTTTCTCGTATTTGGACGATATGTTCCAATCTGGAAAAATTTTTGAAAGTAACGACCCTACTGCGGACATGGAGATTACTCCTGGGGATCGTAATGCATATGCTGCTAACTTACAAGGCTTAACAGATATTTTTACTGATGTTCGTGGAAAACTTCACAAGGCATATCAGAAAAACACTAAAACATACAATTTACGTAAAAGAGACGTAGAGTTTTTCGTAGGGGACAATGTTTGGCGTCGTAATAGAGCGAAGTCCAATAAAGGAGATCAATTTGCAGCGAAACTTGCCCCAGATATATTTCTTCGGTAGTTCGAAAGAAATGCTCACGTTTGGTGTATGACTTGGAAGATCTGGATTCAGGTGCGAAAGTCGGAAAATGGCACATTAAGGATTTGCAAGCCTATCATAGTTCCGATCCACCTGATGATCTTGATGAGGAAAACTCCTCAGACTCATCTGATTGAGATGATTTGTAAATATTAGAGTAATTTTAATCATAGTATTTAGAATACATTAATAATATATAGTTGAAAATTTTTGGACTCCCCGAGTTGACCCACCCTATGCATAGGCGTATCTTCGACTGTAATGTACATATAAAATAATAATATAATTATCTTAATTTTTCCCCGAATCATGGTAAAATTATAATATTTCCCATTATTTTTCCTGAACCATGGTAACCTTGTCCGAAATCTCGAGATTTGATTCAATACTGATTGATCTGAATAATTTTTGTTTGACTCAATAGTAAAATGTAGTAAAAATGTAGTATTCACATTATGTGACTTACATGTTCACAATTTGTAAATACATTTGTTCAGATTATTTTTATTTGTTGTGGAAGACAATATACCGATTATGACATAATCCCAAATTAGGACTCACCGATTTTGTACCCATTTAGGGGGTTTGATACGCGTAGATATCAAGCCACAACCTTTGAAAATCTAGGTTTTTTTTGCTTCATAGTATAATTCAGATATAAAACGATTGAAACTTCAATAGAAGGTCAAAAAATATTGTTTTTGAATTTTGTAATGAATGTTAGTTCGCACAAGTGATGTTGGTTGTCACTTAGTTATTAAAAAGACTATCAAGATACCTTTTTTCATTTTTGCGGAGGGGGGTGGTGTAACGTTTTCATTTGCTAATATAACTAGCCTATATCAAACGTTACCTTTTTCATGGTATTTCCTACTAAAACACTAGAGAAACTCTGTAGATATACACTGTCGAATTTATAAACATTCTATTGATAAATTCAATTGACATAGTTCAGAAGTTAACACTAATATATTAAAGCGCCCTGTATATCACTTCTCATCTTGTATCCAACAGAACGCTCACAGGTATAGTAAACTGAAACAAGAAGGAATAATGAATAAGTCAGTGATAAAATAT